GATAAAGTGCCTGAAGCAACGTGAGGAGCCCAACTGTTCTGAAATTTAAGGGAATTCATGATTATTATTTTTTTGATAACGGAGGATCCCTAACTGCTACCCTTCGGGCGCGCTGACTAGGTAAACCTCCGGCCCGAGAGCAGTCTTTGTATATGGATCATATAAACTTAGAAATTACCTTCATCCCCACCAGTCAGGAATCGAACACTCAATCTCAAGGTGGAGTTACCTCATATCCCAAGCTTGACCACTCGCCCACGATCTGTTGGGTATTCATGATTATTTTTGTACGTATACTGTATAAATTGTTCAAAAAAATAAAATTCGGGAACCCTAATTCATCGGACTGTAAAACCACCATATAAATTTTTTAATTATCCATCTTCTTTCCAAATAATCTCCACATGTTTCTTCGTTTAGGTAACCGAAACCCACGTATGATTCATCCAATATGTAAATTAAAACAAGTAAATGATTTTACATAATATATACTTCATAACGTGTTCGAATGGTTATATCAAAGATTAGCTAAATGACACAGAAAATGAAAATAGCACATTAGAAAAAATGACAACAATAACAGATAGGGAAAAGTAGTCACAAGACACAAAATGTTAGGTTTATATATATGACTAAGGAAAGGAGTGAGTCACCATAGTGGATAGATGACAATGGACCCTCGTGTTTCTTTTAGACTTTTTAAACGCAAGCAATGATGCAATATACGCTACCATCTATATATGACGTAGCATATATGTGTATATATTTGTTTGTATATATGTATGTGTATTAAATTGTGTATGTATACGTGTATGTATATATGTGAAAGCATCCGAAAAACATAAAACTCGTGAAATGAAAGTTCAAGTGGGGGCAAGATCAAAGATGGCCTTTCTTTTTCGCTTTCGCTTTGGCCAAAATAAAGTTGGTGTGTCTCTTCATGCCTTTGTACTTGAAGAAGCCAATTGCCATCATCATTACATATGCATAAATTAGGGGTAATATTAATTAATATTAGGGACATGATAAACGAGAGAAAAAAAAAACAAGTTGAATACTTGTATTAAAATTTTGAGTCTTTGGTCCTAAAGCACCATCTAACTATTCAAAAAGCTTATATTTTTCTTCTTATTTATTTGATATAATAAGAAATTAACATTAACTATTTGAACTAACTAATGATTCATATTGTACTATCAAAATCTTATATAATATATTTCATAAGAAAAACGTTTAAGTTCCCTAAAAAACTAAATTCTCTTATATATATATATATATATATATATGTGTGTGTGTGTGTGTGTGTGTGTGTGTGTGTGTGTGTGTGTATGAGATTTTGGTATGGAGAATAATGAGATAACAGTTTATGCGCCGGATATAGTTGATCGCACATATTCATATTCTTCGTATCATTGCATATCTTTCGTCACTAAAAGCTAATTAACACTCTGAAAGAAAATTGATATATTATTATATAAATGGAGATATACCAAAGGCATATTGCAATTTGTTATGATATATCCTTTGACTAGACTCGGGTTGTCAAAGGGCCAATGATTCTCCTTTTACAAAGTCAAGATTTCGACCTCATCGGGTCCTTTTGTATCATAAAATTTAATTAATATAATTATTTGTTCCTTCTACATTTCAAGGTAACATTCCTTCTGACCTTTTGAATTTAGAACCATTGAATAGTCCCCCTCACGAAAACACCAATACACCCTCTTCTAGATGTTTTTTATTGTAAATATTTTTTGGGTAAACGGTTATCGTAGGTCGATGTCCAAACCAATTTCGGGGTCGGGAATAATATTGTAAATATTAGGAATCATAATTTGGGAAAATAGAGAGGGTTTGCATGCATATATAATAATATTAAGCGTGGAAAATATTTGGAATATCACGAAGATAATATGAATATGATACCCTTAGCACACGCTTAGGACGTGATATATAGTTAGAAATCCTTTCGGTTCAATGATACGGCATACTACTTTTATTTCTATTTGGCAAAATTGTTTGCACACTCGTACGGCAAAAAAACTCAATTATATATTATTAAACACGAATTTAAAATTATGCGGTCAGATCCTAACGTTCGATATTTATTCGATCTTTTTATTCTGATTTAAATCAGTTAAAATGATTTATTTTATTATATATATATATATATGCACATATATATGATTCAAAAAAAAATCTTTTGTATATAATCAAATAAAGGCGGGGATTTTTTTCCCTTCCATTTGAGCCCATTTGAATACAATCTTCTCTTTTTTTCATAACTTGAATTTCATCGAATGTGAGATACGTTAAATACTAGTTCAATAATTCCATATGAATATTTAATTGTTTGTCCGCAAATAAATTGTCGTGTAATGAAAAAAATATTATTATATATATAATTTTTAATTAAAAAAAAAGGGAAGAAAAGTTGAACCGTCGATGATTAGGATTTTTTGCTATTCGACCGTAATATAATTAAATGGTATTAGAGAAAACAAAGCACCGAATTAGCGGGTTGAACAATAAGTAGTAATCAAATATAGTTAATTGGAGGGGGGGTCGGGGCCGGGAATCAAATGCTCATCATACCAAATCATTGGTGGGTCCCAGATGTCTTGGAGCTGTCTGAATCTGACACGTGTCGGACCCATCTGGCACCTCTCTGTTTTGGCGATGGCTTCGTGTATGGATAAGTCTGCGAGGGATCCACGATATCGATGGATGGATGGATGGTTGCATTTGCGGTGCAATTGTGTTTGGTGTTGTTTAATTACATGAGAGCCACCACTTTCTTTATATCCACTCCTCTATTTTATTTTCTTTGTATCGTCATGGATGGGATTTTAGGATTTGATTCATCTCAATATGAAAATTTTAATTATTGCCAATCGCAAGAATGTTATAGAAACTTGATCCCTCTTCCCTTTTTTGTGAAAAAAAATAGTTTCTCATATGATCCATTTTTTTTTAAAAAAAAAATATTTCATACTTCTCTTTTCCATATTATTTTATCTTTTGGTTAATTTATTTATCTTTTTATTGGCTTTTTTTATCAATTATCATTGGGTCTTATATGTCGTGAATCATTCTTCAACATATCATTATCCAATTTTAAATTAAAACAAAGAGTTATCATTATCATTGAATTTATCAAGAAAAAAAGATAAGCAGATGTACTCGAAAGTTCCAACTTTTCCTTAGGGTGACAATTAATTTCATTTGTGGGCTACTTTAAGACTCAATTAGGGGTAACCAAATTGTTAAGTACATTAAAAAATATATAACAAAAAGATATATATATATATATATATATATATATATATATATAGTATAGATAGATGGATGATATGAGAGTAGAACTAGGGTTTTAATGAAATGTTAGGATAAGTGACCTAACTTTGGGGACGAGACCATTATACATGCAATGCTTAGCCGACAAACGCATTATTGGCGAGTGCCGAAACAAAGAAGCCAACCAATGAAACGTTCCACGTCAACTTTCTCAGTTATGTCTCAAATATCTTTTTTTGATTCTTGTTGACGAATCATATTCCGCCACCATTATCTCTCTTCGACCCAATTTTTCTCCATTTCTCTATTATTTTGATAATAATATATATATATATATATAGATATCTTTAATAATTGTAATCGACAAAGTGATGTAAAAGTATCGGCCTCTTTAGGTCTGCAAAGAGATAAAAAGAGAGATATGAGTACGTTATCATGGCACATCTTTGTTCCGATTCGTCTATTATATATCATAATATATCGAATCAACTTTTATTCGAAAACCTGTTTGTCTGTTTACAATTATATTCTGACACGGCATATAATTATCATGGCACATCTCAAGTCATAATACATATATATATGATGCATTATGCATATGACATCATTGACATGACTATTTATCATATATATCGAAATTATATATGATACTTACGGTAGTTATAAATATATCAGAAGCCTTCCATGATAAATGGACACGACTTGGTATGACAAAACCAAATGGGACGTAAGCAATACCTTGGGATCAATTGTTACATTTTATTTGGGGAACAAAAATGAGAAAGAAACTCTCTTAATTACTCGTTCTTTTACAATATATATATATATATATATATATATATATAACTATACTAATTGGTTCGACGAAGAAAAAAAGACTGAACCTAATAAGAAGATAGTGGGGATTCACTATCCAAAAATCAGTAATGCATAAAATATAAATAAAAAATAAAAAATAAATAAGAGGTAGGCAAAGATAACATGTTACCCATCTCTGTGAAGCAAATGAAAAATAAAAGCATGGAGTGGGAGACAATTCATGCGATCAGTATATTAAAAAAGAACCTCTTATAACCACTGTCTAATTTTTGACGTTTTCTCACACATTATATAATTATTCCAAACCCTACCAAAAAAAAAAATAAAATCCTGTGAATTTTATTGGTATATATTTACTATTATTCTGTGAAGCAAATGTATGATTCCTTTGCTTGGTGTGCATGAGAATATCTACTCATTAATTTGGAGGAGGAAGAGAAATTTTGATGTAATATAATACAAGAACTGTGACTTAGATTGGATGATAACAAGGAAAAATCTGGTGTCCTTTGGTTCCTATCATGACAAAAAGACATAAATACACTTGTAAAAAAAATATTAACTAATCCAATAAGACAGGTACTAATTTATGATTATGCGATATTATATGTATATATATATATATATATATATAGAATCGGGGGAGAATAGTAGCAAGTGGATGCTCAAATGGTCAACCTTTGCAAGTGAGAAACTGAGGAGGGAATTGTGCTATCATAATTTCCCACATTCTTTTCCTCGGCTTAAAAAACAAGAAAATATTAAATCATTCCTTTGATTAATAACTATTAGCCACCCACCCACCCACCCATCAAAATTAAAATCTAAAATAAATTTTTTTATAAAAAAAAATGCTCTTCTACCTTCTCCTTAAGAAGGCTTCTTGGCTTCATCTCCTCCCATTATCCTCACAACTTCACACCACAAGGGGAAAAAAGGGGGAGAAAAATAAACTTCTGTCTTTTCTTGGTGTCAATCGTCCAAAAATCACAAATCTTGGAAAGAAGAAGGCGCGAAGGCATAAGAATCTCTCAGATGGGTCATCTCGACGATTCTTGCAACGCAGGTCTTGTTCTTGGGTTAGGCCTCACGCCAACGACCGCTAACTACAATCATGCCATCATGAAGAGATCATCCTCCAACGTTAACGCCGTCAACCACCAGATTCTCGAGCCGTCCTTGACTCTGAGCCTCTCCGGCGACAGCTATAAGAAAAGGACGGCGGAGGAGCCGTCGGTGACCGTCGCCGGAGGCGGAGGCGGAAGCGGCGATCATCAGTTGTGCCGACAAGCCTCTTCTCATAGCGGAGTGTCCTCTTTCTCCAGCGGAAGAGTGAAGAGAGAGAGAGATATCGGCGGCGGCTATGGCGGGGAAGAGGCGGAGACGGAGACGGAGAGGGTATCTTCGAGAATAAGTGATCCAGAAGATGAGGAAAGTGTTAATGCCAGGAAGAAACTCAGGCTTACCAAAGAACAATCTGCTCTTCTTGAAGAAAGCTTCAAGCAGCATAGCACCCTTAATCCTGTAATTATCCTCCAACTAATCTCCTTTTTTATGTTTATATAATATCCTTAAATCTTAGTCATATTCCCGTATTTAATCGTATTTCTTTTTTCTTTTTCTTTTTTCTTTTTACTTCATACAGAAGCAAAAGCTAGCTCTTGCAAGGCAGTTGAATCTAAGGCCAAGACAAGTCGAAGTGTGGTTCCAAAATAGGAGAGCTAGGTAAATCAATTAATTTAAAAACTCATAGTTATTTTTCCGATATTATATATAATTTAAACGCATGATTCATCGGAGTTCTCTCTTAAATCACATAGGAGACTTTTTAACGAAATACTCGCATTTGATATTTTATTAAGTTCCTGAGGACGTATATCCTTTTAACCCCAAAAAAAAACTTTAGATGTTTTTAAAAAAAAAAATTTATTATCGATTTCCGACAGGACAAAGCTGAAGCAAACAGAGGTGGATTGCGAGTTCTTGAAGAAGTGTTGTGAGACATTGACTGATGAGAACAGAAGACTTCAGAAAGAACTTCAAGAACTCAAAGCCCTAAAATTGGCTCAGCCCTTCTACATGCACATGCCGGCGGCGACTCTCACGATGTGCCCTTCCTGCGAAAGAATCGCCGGCGCCGGCGCCGTCTCCGGCGGCGGTGGACGTGGATCCACGGCGGCGGTCGTCGACGGCTCCGGAACCAAGGTCCCGACCTTCTCCATGGCCGCTAAGCCTCACTTCTTCAACCCTTTCACCAATCCCTCTGCAGCTTGTTGATTAGTTAGTTTATTGCTTAATTATTAATTAATTTGTTTTTTAAGATTTAATTAGATAATAGTTATAATCTAGAAGAAAGAATCCAAAAAAAAGATAGATATACATATATGTGCTGAAAATTTGGAAGGGGAGAAGAAAAAAAAAGGTATAGCTAGGGAGACTTCTACAATTCCATTTTGTTTTTCGGTGGAATTGTTGGTGGGAAAAAATAGTTTGTAATTATTGTTTAATTTGTAAAAAAAGGAATATATAATACTTGCTAATCCATTTCCCGTTATTATTTTTTTGCTGATATAATTGTTTATGTAAAGAACAAATCATATATTTTATATAAAAAAATTGTATTCCGTTTTCTGTGTATTTATTATGGCAGGAACTGCGAGTGTTCCTTTTAACTAATGATAGTTTATTCATATGACCATGAAATATTCGTCGGTGCAAATTCCACGTTTCCCATAACCAGATAATAATTACTCAACTATCATATTTATTTATTTTTGGTCAATAAGTATGGTGGACATTTGTGAGCTGCTATTTATTAATTTATTGTATCATAATAGATCTAATAACTTAAATGCTGACGTTAAATTATAGCTTTACATTAAGATAAAAAAAAAAGATTTAAGGATATAACTTCATTGCTCCTTCATATACCTTGACAAAATCTTGAAGTTGATATGATCTTTGTACAATGTTTTTTTATTGCCACAGATAGTTGAATATTATATATATATATATATATATATTTGAACTGTTATTTTGGATACGAATCAATTAGTTTATTTTTGTTTTGGTATAAAAAATAAACAACAAATGAATCAATTAGTTTCCATTTCAACTCTGCTGTCAATTAATGGAAAAAAATGATTGAATTGAAAAATCTTCCCATCTACAAAAGTTATGAATAAATGGGCAGCTTCCAAACGTGAAATTACAGATAATCTACTAAACCAAAAGTCCAATATGAAGCAATCAAAATTTTAATCTACATATCAAATTAATATATATTAATATTGCAAATTAACGATACGTAATTTTGGGAGGAAAAAAATCGAAAAATTTGAAGCTTTGTCCAAAAACTTTAAAATCATTGGATGGGTGTGAGGGATATTAAGTGATAGAGATGAAGGGTGTGGGGGGACAAGGAGGTTGGGTCACGTGTATTGGTGCATCTCCTTAAACCCAAACTTCTTAATTAATCAAATAAAATTCTAAAATTTGAATAATGCCTATTTCTATATTACAAGAACAAGACTACATAAGTTGTACCACAGAGTGATGATCTATGATAAAAAAAAACGTTGAAAATCATATATGTAATATGCATAAGAAAAATAAAAAAAATATTGATTTCTTTATTTGGACGAGAAATCCGATTCTAGCCGCATGGTATGACTCATAACAAATCACTAAATTTAAAATGATTATAGACTAGAGAAATTAATTATATAAAAACTCTAAGATGGCAAAGAAATGATAGCTCAGCTTCACATTTCTGAAACTCAAAAGACAAAACAACGAAAGTAATAATATGATTGGACACGTAATATTGAAAAAGAAATAGAAATGAAAATAGGGAAGAGAGGTACGTGAAGTCGTGAGATGCTCTATCTTTAAGGGGTAAGGTGGGGCATGGCTTCACGTGATTTTCCCTTTATTTTCCTCACGACCATGTTATGACGATATGTGGAATTTATGGCTTTTTCACATTTTTTGTACGCATAAATATACACACATATATATATATATATATATGTGTGTATATACACGAATCTTGTAGCACATATACATACACAAACTCGACCAAAACTCCCCATCTCCGTTGACAACGAGATATTTAAAAAATCGTAGCCAAAATTTCTTTTATTATGTTAAATAGTCAATAATAGTTCGATGCAATGTCATGCAATTCAAAAACTGTATTTAAAAAGGTAAATTTATAGTGTGTATCTGAATAGAACCGTGATTGTGAAGATGGGTATAAGGGTGTGATCCAATTATATTGTATAATGTATACACATTTAATTATATGTAAAATGAAAGATATATTTTTTTAAAAGGAAAAGAAGGTATATAATGCATGCGTGATGATGGGTGAGGTATATGAGGGATGAATTCACGAGAGAGAGAGAGAGAGAGAGAGAGAGAGAGAGAGAGAGAGAGAGAGAGAGAGAGAGAGTCTACAGGAAACTCATAAGATTGGTGCCCCTGAAATTATGGTGGTGGACCATTTAATGATGAGACGACTTTCCGGGAAAAGCGGTGACTTTCCAGGAAACTCCATTCCATTTCCAAGGAATCCTTCCGTTCCCCCTTTACCCCAAATAAACAAATATATATATATATATACATACACGATGTATTTTGTGTGGTTAGTTTCCGATTTTCGTAAATGAAAAGTTTATTTACTATATATTTATGTAACTATGAAATATAAGTTTGGTTTCAAAATTTTCAAATTTAATTATCAACATTCATAAAAAATTGAAATATAAATTAGAGGGGACAAGACAAGTATATTTAAATATATATATCCTTGGAGAATCCGAAAATAATTGGCTCTCTTTCTCTCTCTCTCTCTCTTTTCTTGTTCTCATCATGAATATACGGTCACTTTCATCCCCATTTCAATTTATGATGTAATTGTTAGCATATAAAAATTCTAAATAAATAGTAGGAAAAGCTATACATTTCATATCCTCAATCATACATAATTATTTTATATTTATCTTTTCTTTCTTTATAGTACACTTTTTGTTTTATTTTTCCCCTTCCAACTTTTGACTAATTCGACCGTCTACTAGATTGGCCATAACAAAAGCATATCTAATTCTAAAACTTGTATTCATAGTTTATTCATCCATTTATTAGTTTAGTTATTGGTTTATGTTATGTATCTTTCTGTTTATATACGTTATATATGAAAAATTATCTGGGTATTAAAACTCATCATTATACGTATTAAAACGAACCAAAATTCAATTTAATATGCTTTCCATATGAAAATAATCAAATGTATATACGTGTTTATGATGACGGAGATGTATTGTGTGTATATATATATGTATGTATGTATGTATGTATGTATGTATGTATGTATGTATGTATGTATGTATGTATGTATGTATGTATGTATATATATGTGTATGTATGTATGTATGTATGTATGTATGTATGTATGTATGTATGTATGTATGTATGTATGTATGTATGTATGTATGTATGTATGTATGTATGTATGTATTGTTTTGTTATCGCCAATAATTACTTTGTTGGCGACTAATTATTTGGCTCGGTCCTTTTAATGATTGATAGATTTGCTTTACGTGTGCACTCACGTAATTAGCGTATTAACAACAGCAAAAGACACGTGTCGTCCGTTGGTTAGATTGTCGGCTTGTCGAGTTCTTGTTCCAACAATTACATTTTTTTAATCACTAAACACGGATTTAGTATAAAATCCAGCATGCTTTAAAAAAATAATTATTATATTGTGATGATTTCTCGGATGTTTTAACGGTTACCGTAAACATGAATAAAATAATATTCTTCTAAGCCATTAATTACGTAGTCTTTTTTGGGGCTTATTTAATTAGCTTAATAGTTTTTGTTATCTTTTCTACCAATCTTGAATTCATCTTTTCATGACTAAAATCTTTTTTCCGAATGTCAATTTTAACTTTATTTTTAAATTATTTTATGAAACATTTTGGAGACATTCTTTTCATGTAAGCATTTGATTTGTAGGACCACATACTTTTATTTAATCATAGTAATTTAAAAAAAATGAAATAAGGATATAGAGAGATTGTTCAAGAAATGTAACATGGCCCTATAGGGTAGTGACATAAAAGGAAATGGAGTACTAAATGCTGCTTAATGTTAATAGGCTGATTACAATTAAACTATATAATCACGGGGATTAACCGGTTTAGTAGGTTGCTTAATTAACACCTAATTATGCGTATTTAAGCTAATGGAAATTGGTTGCTTAACACGTCTTCACCTGTGGGCGTGTTGGTAAAAGGTAAGTAGGTGAATTTAATTATCCATTAATTTTAGAACCATTCAAAATACAAATGATCAACTGAATTGACCAAATGTGTGAAATAAATAAATAAATAAATAAATATCAAAGACCATTCATGAAAACCCTATTTTTTTTTATGGGAAACAGGTCAATATATTTTTTTTTATCATTGTATATTATTTAATTACCCCGAGCACCACTTGGTCACGCAGTCTTATCGAAATCAAAAGTTTGAATAAATAATTTCACAAATCTTTAACTTCTCTATTTTTCATAACAATCTCTCTCTCTATATATATATATATATGTGTGTGTTACATTGATTAGAAATGTCAATAATTAGAAAAACCAAAAATGTATATTAAATATCTAGAAATGTTTATTAGAGACCCGTATCTAAAAAATTCAAAGTTTTTTTACCAAACATATCTTAATTTCATTATGTCCTAATTGTCAATTAAAAAAAAAAAGAAAAGAGAAAAGGTTAATCTGAAAGCCGGTCGATACATGCACTATGAATTTGTACAAAGTGGACATAATAATAGAGAGGGAAAGAAAAGAATATGATTAAATGGATCATAGCAGAATTTCTCGATCTGACCTATAGTTGTAATAACTTTCAAAGTATAGTAAAAAAAAATCATATCACTGCATGTATGTATTTGTACGTATGTGTGTGCCCATATTGCCTCACCTGTCATGTACCCATACAATAAAAATTCAAAATTCAATAACCATTATCAAGACTAATCAATGCACGAGACGTCAAAAGGAGCACGTGATTTTGTACCCCTCTCCCCCACAACATCTGGTCACACTCGTATGGTAGTTTTCCTTTTGATGAATGTTGTAACATTTTGTTACATAATATTTATATTTATGACATTCACATAGGCTATACCTTTCGCGATATTACAAAAGATATAGTTGAACCGAAAATCCGATGAAATGTTATAACATTTTGTTATGCGATGTTTATATTTATACGTAAGGAAAAATGAATTTGAAATTATGGGTCTCCAATTCAACAAAGAATGCTGTCACGAAGGTATTATATCTTAATGTATTTTTATAATTAATGTTTTTGTATTAAACCACCTGTTTTGGTTGAGGATTGAATTTCCAACCACTTTGTTTGAATCTGAAACGTCTTTTCAATTATTATTTTTATCCAAACGGCAAATGTAAATCTTATACGCGTAAATGTTTTGACCGTCCGTCACACCGAAACAACTAGAGCTAAAAAATATTAATGCTGCTTTTTAGCATATATATATATATATATATAAAGGTTGATAAAAAATATTTAATGTGTAGATTAACTCGCCTCTCCTTTCGATGACTTAGTCCGAAATCAAACACGTGGGATGCTCTAATCACTCGGTCCATTTACATTATTTTCCACGTACAAAGACGACATCACACATCATTTTGGATACGTCTAGATTTTAATAAAATATTTTTTTTTTTTGCAGTGTCAGCTTTGATAGTTTGCAAATGATAGGAATTTTGTGATTATGAGAAGGGAGTTTTATTGGTTAGCGGAAAACAATCTGCTTTGGTACAAAAAAAGATAGATGAATTCATCGAAATAAAAGGTATAACATTTTAGGAACTATTTTTGTTTATCGAAAACTAGAAAAGGTAGAAATACTTAAATATTATGCATGAAATCTGATTTGATTTTAACCTGATTTGCAGTATTTATTTATTTTTTTATTTTGTTTATAATAAAATTTAGAAAGGAAAAAAAGTAATTTACCAGCTGCTTTGGATAGAAAAAGTCTCTAAATGAAAATTTGTTTGATTATGCTAATATAAATGGTGGACCATGTATATGTATAAACCAAATTTTATTTAATATATTTGTCCGGTTAGAAAAGAAAAACTTTCTTATTATATTTTCATACGACTTGCAGATAATTATTTTTAGTAAAAATAATGTTAAGAAAATAGATAAGAAACGGGAGAGGGTCAAGTTTTGATATTTGGGGTTTTGTCGTTATATTTTTTAAAAAAAATTACAGATTTAAAGATAAAAGAGAATCGCAATCTTTTGAATTGGTCCCTTATAAAAAAAAATTAAATTATATCCGATTATCCTTAATGGACCCCCAATATTCTTATCTACGTGCATTTTGACCAATTCAAACCTCGTCTCGGCAGCCACTACTCAGGCTGACATCATCATCACCGTCCATCATCGTCGCCATTCCATGCACCATCACCACCATCCATCCTCCTCGTGGTCATTCATTATAATAATAGCGATCAAGTTCTCATCATCATCCACCTGGCCACCAAAACATTAACGTCAACCTAAAACACTAAAATATGATAATCCAAATGTGGATAATTCAACCAGTGAAACGAGGTGTAAAATGTATGTCTCATCCCGAATTTGAATCTCTTAAAAAAAGAGCATATAATCCAAATCTATGTTTATGCATTTCCGTTACGTGTATGTAATCATACCCATATAAATCTATGTATGTGTGTATTGTATATGTGTGTTTGTGAAAAAGTACGTATCTATGTATGTATATATGGGCTTGTTACCCAAAATTTTGTAATGATATTCTCATGGGCCTACGAATCAAAGCCCAGCTGAATAAAAAAGTACTACATCGCCTTCCGTATAATCTCTAACAGTTCTTATGATGATATTCGATTGATTTAATATTTTTTTCCCCACAATTTATAGGTTAAAATTAGTCATCACATTAATAATTAATATGATAATTTAAAAATGATAAAAATGGCTAAGATGACATGAAATATTGTCATAAAAAGAAAAACGACTGCTGAAATCGTGGCTATATCTTTTTTTTTTAATGAGGATTATACGTTTTCAATTGCAGTTAAAAAAACATTAGTTTCTCTTATCCGCAGCCATTTGTTTTGTAATTATTGGATTAGTTTGGTTTTTTTCTGGGACATTTCTCCGTTTAGTGTTTTATTATAGTTTAGTCCTTTATTAACTTCTGCAGTAATAAGGTTAATAACTTTTTGTCCGAACTCATATATTTAATTACAATTATTTTCCTCCCGCACCGATGCATAGAAAAATGCCACGACACGAGGGAATATTCCTTTTCGTTTTCTTGTCACAAGCAAAGACTCTACCAAGTTCTGTTTAAACGACATACAAACAAAGCAACAAGACGAATAGAAGCTTATTATTCCCAAATACGCCACAAAAGAATATATCAATATTTATATATATATATATATAGCTTGACGTTACTATATATATATATATATATATATATACATGGGTCCTCATTTTTAATACGTATAGAGTTCACTAGCTCAGTCCAATAATGGCGAGAAGATGGTGCGTGATAGTGATACTTATGGTAGATCTTCTAGGGTTTAATGTTCTTGAGGTGGATGGTGAATCGTACGGCTCTCATGATGCTATCAAAATATCGAAGAATCTCATCCGTTGGATCGGGTCCTCATGTAAGCCCTCTTGTCGCCATAATGCCAATAACGAGAACAAGAGAAGCGTGCCCAGTGGATTTAATCCACTGCACAACAAGTAGTTTCATCTTTCTAAATTTGTACTTGAATTTTTTTTTTGTTTTCATTCGCAATAATTGATAATCATGTTACAACATTTAATGTGCTTAATTTCTTTCTTCCTATATCCACACATGTTTCAATCCATAGATGCATGAATACATATACTCTATGATACACTTCATCGCACATCACAAAACAATTATTGATTACATTTCACATACAGGCATGATATACACCAATATTCCAAACACCACACACACATATATATATATATATATGTGTGTGTGTATGTATATTTGATCATCATATCCCGGCCAAGCATTCGGGAGGAGGGACAGGGTAACGAGACCGGTCGGTGCAATAATCGTAGACCATGTGGTTCATTCGGACCCACCTGTAACGTCTAGCCTCGACAGAACTTAGCCGATGGTACTCGGACCCTTCCCACCAGTTCTTTGGGTTGGCCGGACAGTCCACGGGGCCTGGAACCGGACACCCTTCAATGTCGAAGTCTTTGTAATAAGCATAGAAGGGAGCTTTCGACCAATCGATTTTCTCTATTCCTCCACGTGTCGCCCAATCATCGGCTTCCCACAATGTCGAGTACACTCCCATTGGTTGGAATCTAGGGAATGGAACGTTCCTCGCCTCGTTGTTCTTATAGACTCGTATCGGCACATTGTCCACGTAAAACCTACATATTGATCCACGTGTTATAATTTTCGGTGAAATTTCAAAAAAATGGTTGATGATAAATGTGATTAATCTTGGGTCTTCATATTGTGATTTGTATTTAATTTCCTAAATGTTTGATGTCTCTTTCATTCTTCTGTAACATGGCCCATGGGCCGGCCGACATAAAAAAAAATGTTGTAATAAGGACAAAGTTGTATCTTTTATCAAACAATAATTGGTCTGTTAATATTGTGAAGTAATCATATCGATTATCATCACTTTTTTGTTTCATTCCGAACAAAACCTACTAATTAATCATATGATTTTTGAATGTATAGCTGCGTTCATTAATTAAAAAGGAGAGGAATATTATTGTTCCTATGACTTACACAACTCGGAGATGGTTCCACGAAATTGTGTAATCATGGAAATCTTTAGAAGGGTCGAACCAGAGGTTGATTCTTTGTTCTCTGTCGCCTTTACCATGAGCGTATACATTGGTCTGAACCGTGTACGGCTGTCCACTCCGGTTTCCCAAGAACTCGAAATCAAGCTCGTCTCTTACCATATCCGTATCCGAATTCATCTGTATAATTCAAACAACAATTCGATTATTTGAATTGCCAAGATATTTCAAAAGAGATTTTTGATAATATAATATACAAAATCATACGTAAAAGGCAGTGACTGTCCCGGCCGAATCGCCCGGGATGAGCTTGATCTTCATGCTGACACGTCCGAACAAATATCGTCTCTTCGAAGCAAACCCACATCCTAAAACCGTGAAAGAAATCGACAGAATAAGCTTTGATGTAATGGCATGATGATTCATGAGTGTCGTGACATATAAAAATTTCCGTTTTCGATACGTAAAAGTATCAGCAAAACAAAATCGAATAATATCGATTAGATTGTATAAACCTGAACCAGGGTCCAATTTGAGCTGGATGGCCCTCCCTCCATCAATTTGAGCAATGTGCGAATCGGACCACGTGATCCTAAAATCCTCCTCAAATGTCGCCGGTCGGCCCCAAACCGGTCGAAACGATGCTGAAAATGCCAAGCACAAGGCCAGCAGCACATCCCGTACGGAGAGATGCATGACCAATATATATGGTTGTGTATGTGTGTGTGTATATATTTATACAAAGAATGTACGAGAACTTTGATGGGTTTGAATGAAATGAAGAAACCTAACCCATATGCGTATATATATATACACCAACAAAACATATGAGTCGTAGTATTGATTAGAAAGGAGGGTGAAAGAAATAGAGCGAAGAGAGAGGGACATTGATGAAGAAGACTGCATTCATATGGAAAAGGGCCATTTTAGAGCTTTAGCTTTCGAATACAGCTAATCGGCCATCCTCTCGCTTGGTCCTACCACTTCCTCTATTATTATTATTATTATTATTTAAATGATTATACATGTTTTATTCCACTCGATATATGTTTTTTTTTTTGTTTATTTCATATACTCTATTCATTTCCTTTTTCTCTCAAATCCATTAGATTCGGTACTTTAAAGTTAAGTCCGCAATCTTCGGTCAAATAACCGATCTAGGGTTTTCACTATTAAAGTTAATTTCATGGGTTTTCACGTTATGAGAATGTATTTTCCTTGAAGTACTTTTATATTTAAAAGAGACAATCGAACTTCACGTAATAGACTAACCGATCGATGATATTGCATTCCACCGTACAGTAATTATACTTTCATTTAAGGTCACGAGTTTACTCAACTTCGCCACATGCGTACACGTGGTAGGTGCAGAATGCAACACGTGGATTTTTTCTATTGGGTATTGGAATGGAATCTACATTTTCTGACAAATATCCGTTTAGAAGACTACAGAATTGGATTTAGCATGCTCATCGTATGAAGTGTAACACTGTTGATTACATGCATGAGATGCGATAATTAATGTCGATGTGTGATAATGTTCATAAATTAATTACATTTGAATTTAATGGGTATATAATTTATTGATTTTTATTACTTGATATATATTCAATTATATCAATAGATTCTAACATCATCAATGATCGATTATCGTACACGTGAACGTATAACCATACCTTATAATTGTAATTGTGTTTTTTAAACTGTTATATATACGGTATTGGATATACATATATACGGATCCGGAGATACTTATACGTACGTGTGTGTAAATGTATACCAGAATTTTTGATAGGCCGTGGAAATAATTGGGATGTCGCTGTGACGAATTCTGGATCACAGCGTTTATTCCTTATCCAAACCACACAAAGTCATGCTCCTTAAATAGTTCGTAGACCCACATGTCTTAAAATTATTTGCCATAAATAATGTTAGTCCGGACAGAAAAAATTGAGAATATCGCGAACTTTCATGTTTATATTCAGGGAAAATTCTGAAAAATATACAATGTACCACTGAAAAAAAAAAATCTATACTTAGAACCTTGAGTTCTATTTTTAAAAATTTTCAAAAATACTAATTTTTAATAAAGAATGCAAACAAAATCTAAACTTAATGTTAACAATTATATTATATACACCAATATATGTAAAAAATAATATTTTTTAAAAATTGAAAATGGTGTTTCGGAAACCGATACTGATATAATCTTTTAATATATTAGTATCTATTCATTTAACTAAGTCCTGGTTTGATTGCCACTTTAAAACTTCGGACTATAATTTTGTCTATAATCGATTTAGTTATAACTTTAATTTTCAGTTCTAACTTATATATTATATATGTGCATATATAAAGAAATAAATTAACAAAAGTCTGATCAGTTATAAAGAAACTATAAATAGACCTTAAAGAAATTACAATCCCTACAATGATCCCTTTCTCTAAAGTAATGTTGGGTCAATCAAAATTATTTTTCATTGCCTATTTGTTTTATAAAATTAAATTTAGATTCCTAATAGTTTTGGATATATTTCGTTATAATATTAATTATGTGGATATTTTTTTCTCACTGATTGCCCTTCCTTTCAAAGTAGGAAATTGCTTACGTCTGTTGAGCGTGCGCATGCAAGTGAATTACATAAATGTTTTGACAAATGAAATAGTTTATATAATATCAAATTCCTTATAACAAAAAAAAAATGATGGTAATTTCATTTTAATTTGTGGTGAAATTGGATTTTTCCAATAAATTAATTAGTATTAATGATCTTATCTAATAGATCAGTACCGTAGGTTATATCATTGTATGGAGGACAATGATAGTGTTATCAAATCAATTAAAAGTCTATTAACTTCGATGTGCGTACCAAATAGACAAACCCACATGGAGTTAAGCATTGATAACAAACTAATCAACAAAATAATTTTTTTTTATATATAAATATGACTTTTATTAACTTAAATGTCATTTCCATAATTATTTTGTGCGCATTAATATATGATTGAATATGTTACCTACCACCATCCGGTCCATGCCCTCCTTATTTTTGTATTCGTTCGAAGATGGTAAAAATATCGCTGCCGACAATCTATGCTATCTGCCACTTAATTTAATTTCACTTTGTTTTGACGTGTATTTTGTATTTTTTTTTAAATACACTTGTTTTCTGTTAAAGTATTTATGTTTTTTCGTCTATCTTTATTTGCGATATTTATAAGATCTTAAACTGAAATTTTCATTATTTATGGATTAAAATATAATCATCGTATTAAAGTGTAAAAAAACCATTTTTTATTTTTACAAAACTATACAAATTTTTTTTTTGACGATATGAACTTATAAATTTAAGCCAAGCTTATAGAATTGGGAAAGTCGATATCTTGAAGCCAAGCTTACAGTTCTGAAAACTCTTAGACGTCTGGCATTTATTTTATTTTATATGTACAAATATTAAAATCTAACCTTACCACATATTGAATACAAGTGTGCAGGTTCATGGATTTAGTTGGGCCGGTCCAATAACAATCCTCCCTACCAGCCCAGATAGCGTTTGTTAGGATTTATTCAAAGCCCAATTATGGTATCAATTGGGCCTTTAATGATTGGTAATAATTTATGGACCGTCAGTGTACTAATCATGATATAAGGTAAGATATAGCGAAAGTTAAAAAAATATGATGCAAACGAACCGATTGGAAAATGTAATGAGATATATATATATATATATATAATATGGTTCACTAGGAAAAAAAGGCTGTGGAGTTGCCAGCGTAATCAGTGGGAGTTGGGCGATACACAGTTCTATAAGATTCTTTTTTTTTTGTAACCACGAGCTATGCGATTATTTAAATAAATACAAATTCCACATTATCTGCATTCATATTTTTGGTTACAGGAATACGAAAAGTCGAGGGGCACAGGGATTGGTCAGTCAGGTCAGGTGGGGTTCCCCTCCTGGTCCAGTCAGGCTAACCACGAGACACCACATAAACCAAAACTTTATTCAAAATTTTTTTATAAATTTTTTTAAAAAAAATTAAAAAAAATTATTACAAGAAATCAAATCAAATCAAACAGCTGGGATCGGAATGTAGGTTTCTGCCGAAGCTTGAAGCCTTTGTGTTGTAATATTTTTGTTAAAGAAAAAAAACAGTGTTTAATATTTAAATCTAAATTGCTATTTATGGGGCTTTTCTTGTATTTCCACACAAGCTATCTCTCTTTTTTCTTTGTTTTGGCCCTTTGCCCTTTTGCTTTTTTATTTATTTATTTTTTAAAAACCACTTTTGCTTCATATTTAAATTATTCATTCTGCTCTTTTGTACCTCTGTAGTTTCCTTTTCACCTGATTTTTGCACTATTCGACACTTGTCTATATACACATTTATATATATATATATATATACACACACACATTTATACATCTCATGAAAGAATCTGACTCTTTTGATTATTTAATGTTGGTGAAATAATTCGATTATTTTTCCTGCAACGGTGCATAGAGATCAGAGAAAATCACACCAAACGAGTAAAAATAAAATAAAATAAATGGGGGGTGGGAGGATCCCTCTTCCTTTTATTATTTTTTTGTTTTGTCTGCAATTCCACTTCTCTTAAGTACCTCTCTAATACACGTATCTTTTAAAGATGGGATGCTACGAGGACGTCATTAGTCATTATATGTGTATTATTTATGTACAAGCGCATGTGTATATACAATTATATATACGCATACATTCGTGCGGTCATTTAGAGAAAATTTTTGTTGCCTTTTACGGGTCACTTTCCTTCTCTTTCGCTCTTTGGGAAGCGTCTCTGCATCAATATTATTCCGTCTTTCAAAACAAATACACAGAGAGAGAGAGAGAAGTTTTTCCTCTTGCAAGTGTGAAAATGGCGTGCGGCAATATGTCAAGCATTCTTCTGTTTCTCTTGATTCTGAATTCGACCCATTTGAGATTCAAGGCTCAAGGTAAATGGGTCAATGTCAAGTTTTCGAATTTTCACTTCTGTAAAAAGAAAACAAAAAACTTTCAACCTCGTGATCACTAATGTTTTTTTTTTAACCACACGTTTCCACTTCTCTTGCCCATTTGCAGGAAGAGGAGAGCCTGCATTCACCAAGGTATATGATCCAATAATCACTCATTAATTAAAATAACTACGATTATTAACATTTTTTGTGTGAATCTCTAAGTTTGAAGTATTTGGATTTGGGATTTGGACAGAGAGATATCAATGAAGAGAAGAGTGTAATGAGGGGTCAAATAGGGTCAAGGCCACCAAGTTGTGAGAGAAGATGCAGATCATGTGGACATTGTGAAGCCATTCAAGTTCCGACAAATCCTCAACATTCTCAGACAAAGCTTCGTTCTTCGTCTTCCGATTCTGAAATTCTCAATCTTGATTATGCAAGAGGGGATGACAGTTCTTCTAATTACAAGCCCATGAGCTGGAAATGCAAATGTGGTAACTCCATCTTCAACCCTTGAAAATGCTTCCTCTGATCATCACCACAGTTTTTTTTTGGGGGGGGGGGGGGGGGTTTATGCAGCTTTCTCCATCCGGCTGACACCAAGAACCCTAAGCTACTGATGTGGTTGTGCAAGGAGGAAGTAAGGTATTTTACTGCTATCTTTAATTGTTTTTGTTCGTATTCTGGCATAACTATGAAGGCAAAAGAATGACCATTTCATTTGAAGCTATTGCCGAATCAAGTTATATCATATGTGAGGAGGCGACGAGTGGATTTGATTGATCATATATGTATTTCTTTAACCAGACACAGCCTTTCGTAGTCTTTTGCGCCTGCTTTGACAACAAAGGTTGTCTGGTTTTCCTAAGCATTTATTTTATCTATTGGCTTGTTTCTTTTACCAGAGAAAGGGATTCAGATAAAGACGGAAAGATTAGCTTCAAAGAGTTTTTCCATGGACTCTTTGACACAGTGAGGAACTACGAAGAGGAAAGTCACAATTCTTCACATCCGCATCACGACTTGCCTGAAGGTCCGGCAAAACAACTGTTTGGTCAGCTTGACAAAGATGGCGACGGGTAAGTGTACGGAATGGTGGGTTTAGTTAGTATCTGATAACACCATCTAACTAAGCTCCTTGCTCTCTACAGGTACTTGTCGGATGCTGAATTGCTTCCTATCATTACTAAAATCCATCCTACCGAACGTTATTACGCAAAACAACAAGCCGATTATATTATATCTCAGGTACTTTATTACAATGGGGGTTTAATGTCGATCCCAGCATCTTTATGTAAATATTTCGATTTGTAATCAACGTAAACCGGGAGTTTCTGGTTATTCTGCGAACCGGGTTTTGGATTCCATGCTACAGTAAATTAGTTAATCCACCGACTGCTCATCTTCCTGTTTCTATATAATTTAATTCTGTAATTAGACGCATGATTGACATCCCAATTCAACGAGAGGAAAAAAGATGGGCTTACGAAACAAGTACGGGAACACGCTTCGTAAACATAATGCACAGAAACCAATTTTAAAAGTATTCTGACAAATACCAATTTTGCGGATGAAAGGTACGTAACATGATATACACATATACATACACACACACACATATGTGTATATATATATGTAAGTATTCAATTATATAAAAGATTTTTTTTAAACGGATACGGTTGTACGTACATACATCCATTTAACCGATGTCGTGTCAATATACGTCACAGTATCGACGTTTCCCCTGTGGGAAAGCAAAACAAAGAGCTTATGGAAGTGACCCTTTTTTGTAAAAACATTTTATTATAACCTTTTTTAAGCATTTTTTTTAATGTATTATCAATAAAAAACACACATTCTTTCTTTCTTGTTTTCATACACATACAAATACATATTTATATTCAAAGAAGCCATGCATGAAAGCATATTCTTCATACAAAAACATAAATTCCGTTAGCACCACAAAAAACTTTCCAAATTAGTTGAATATCTTTGACCCAATAGATAAATAAGATATATGAATTTTGACGAAGTCATGATGATGGGATGTTTCATATGGATATATAAACGCCGACGTGACTGAAGATCGAAATTGGTTTTATTGTCATTGCATAAATCAAGTAAAAAGCATAGCAAAACAGTAGGGATTCTCCTACTGTTCTTTGAATGACTATACTATCGCATTTGCATGCATGCATGCATATACGTACACATTTCTGTCTATTCGTGTATCTTTTTGGTTGTATGGATTTGGTAGATGCCAACGTGTCAATCGATGTCGGAACGTCCGTTGATTTAACTGATCATCCGAGTTGTGAAAGACTTTCAACTAACGTCTCAAATCATGAAATATAAAGCCATGCATTTGGATTCGAAAAGGGGATCTTTTCACCTTGATTGCTGGGGTTTGTTTCTCTAAATCTAAGATTGGATTTGTGTTTGGCTTTTTTCATCGTTGGATTTGGAATATCGGAGTAAAATTAGCATGGAAAAAGAAAATTCCACATAAAAACAATTGAAGGTTATTAATTCCGATGCACGAAAGTAAAGGGCAAACAGAACAAATAACAAGGGAAAGAAATCAGTGTTTTCAAAGCACGTAGCCATTCCAATCCGTTCTCTTTCTTGGAACTTTACTAACAGATAAATAAATAAATAAATGAAAGAGTTTACAGTGGACGACGAACAAAGTCAATTTTGGACATATCTCTTAAGTCTTTTATTTTGTGTCTCTCTCTATGCATCTTTTTACTCGTGTCTTATGCATGATCTTTTTGACGTTCATCCCATATTTATTGTTCTTTCCGGCATTTATTTAATTTACCTTTTATATTTCAACGAATGGAGCATTTAATAAAAGTTTTATTACATACATCTGCCCGCAGCCCCCATTTGTGCAATTAAAAAATTTTATTTTCTTTATTAATTTTATAAAATCTTGAATAAAAGTATATAATTCCCCTATAATAAATACCTTGTAATGAAACTTTTGATTGAACATCATTGGAAGGGAAAAAAAAATTGTTTAAGCTTCTTGAAATGGCATAAGCTCGGTCCAAGAACAATATAATGGGCTAAGAAAAGGCCCATTAATATGTAAAGTGAAAAGGATTGAGCTTATAAGAAGCCCATATCTGTGAAAAGCCCAAATAAACTTAGCCCATCAATAAGAAGGCGCCGAAAGGAATCAGAAGATATACCTCAGAATCTGAGAACCAAGAAAGCAAAGACAGTGAGAGCCAAACAGATTCCTCCTCAGACAAGAGTATCCTTCAGGAAGTAAAGGAACTCCGGTCTGATCTAGAACCTCTCTGCCTGACAGCGGAGAAAACAACGGCTGTATACGATGTGAAATCGTCGATCTTCTCATCATCCCCTGTAATTGTACCCTTCACCAACTTACTGAGAAAAGGTTGGACTCCATAACAAGGGAGTAAAAAGAAAGAGGCAGAATCACATATTGGATAATCAAACCAAGTTCGATTCTTATTGCCCCGGATAACAGAATGGCAATTCAAACAATACGAAAAAACGAAAGTTCTTATTTCGCATTCAAACAAATCGGTATGTTTTCGCAGAAACAAGGGTTCACGTGCCATTATCATGAAGACAGCAAGGCCAAAGGGCCTCCATACTAGTGATGCTTCACCTCAAACAAGCCGTCTGGACCTGAAAAATCACAGACACCATGTGGGTTCAGAACCCGAAAATGGTTTCCGAAACAATGTATTATATTACCGCGGACATCATCATCATCAGAGACAGAAATCACAAAAGAACAAACGAGAACATGAATGAAATCAAGGGCAACCGACTGGAACTAGAAATATCACAACTGCTATAAACAGTGAAGGGGGAACGAAGTTGGAAAGGGACAACACATAATTACATACCCCAAGGAAACTCCTTGTTGCGGATATGCAAATAAGGGTATGCCTGTTCAATGAACAAACAAACAAAAAGATCCATGAGATAAATAGAAAAGGGCTGTTTTAGCAATCTGAACAAAGTATAATCCATTTAGTTCCATGCCCATTGCCATTAACAGATGTGAGAGAAAAGCTTACGAGAGGGTCATCGTGGTGGGGATGGCCCTTGGATAAGTTATGCAAAGCCAGAGCAGTGCAAGCAGCAATACCCAAATACGTGATCTTCTCCCACTTGGCAGACTCATCTGTCAAAATTTTCAAAATTTTGACATTACCCCAAAGGATAAGTTATCAGTTTTAAAATGCAGATGGCGGAAACAAAGCTGTCGCCTTTAAAGTCATACTCATCGATCACTCCATGATTCGCCGACTCGAATCAATAGAACAATCGAGACACAGCATTTTCGAGTCGAATCGAATCGATCCGAACCGGAGATTGCGTATTTAATCACTGGAATGCCCTAGACTACGAACAACATGCATATACTGAACCGTCACTGAGGCTCCCTTCCCACATCCAAATTAACAACAACAACAGGGGAGAACTTACAAGCATCGTCGTGATGGGCTTTGGAGGCGAAGCTCCGCTTAGGATCAGAAGAGATCCTCGAAGCTCCACGGATCGTTGCTCGGGATAGAGCGGAACGTGCGAACGCCATAGCCATTTTCTTCGTATCCCCCCCTCTCTCTCTCTCCGAGCGCGTGCGATTTGGAGAATCGCGAGTGGTTCAGGTGTTTGGAGCAAGACGACCAACCGGATCTCGTATACCCGGCCCGGCCCGGCCCGACCTGAGAAAACCGTCGACCCATTATGACACTCTAACGGGCTCAAATGGGCCGGCACACCACGGCTTCAATTTTTTATATAGGGCTTACTTGATCCTAGAGCCCTTTATATCATTTGATTAGCCTTAAATTATCAAAATATGTTTAACCATGTTTATTTTGGTCCAAAAGATGCCACAGTTTTTAAAATTGATTAGGGCCTTCTGGATTTTCAATCACGCTTCTGATTTTAATGTTCCAAATCAATATTGGCAGATAATCCAGTGATCTAATACTGATACTGTTTCATTTACGTATCAAAATATTTTCCGAAACAATTAAATAATTCCCCCTACGCACCCAAACTCACGAGAGGAAATCTTAGGGGAACGAATCTCAGCCGTTCGATCTCCATCCAACGGTCATAATTTACGCCTCTAGAGACAGAAGATACATCAACGTCGTGATCTCACCGCGCTTCTGATGCCCTTCTTCTTTCCCCATGCAACAGCTCGTCGATGGACACCGTTCTCCGTCGCAAGCGCTGCGATCGTGGTTGCGTTTGACGTTTCGATCGCAGCCGCACGATTCGCGGTGGTCGAGGGCGTACTCCACGTCTTCCCTTGACCATCCCGCACGCGATAACGTCTGGGCCGCGTCAGTGATTCGCCGTCTTATAACGCGTCGGATTCCATGGCCGACACCGTCGGAAATTGCATCGTCACCGTTCATCATGTCTCGGACCTCGTCTTCACTCCAGCCTCCGTCTCTTAGCTTCCAGAACGCGTCGTCCAAACACGCCGTTAAGCACTCGTCGGGTAACGCACTCCACCACCCGAGCGTGGGGCCTCGCGCCGTCGTCGTCCTCCTCCCTCTCTCCGCCACTTCGCTCCAGAATTCCACTCTTCGCGTCTCCTTCGCCGCCCACACCGGGAGAATTCTCGATCCGTTGGGATTCGATAATCGATCGAATCTCATGAAAATCCCAGAAACGTCGATGCTCAAAACCTTGACGCCATTACCATCGATCTGGATCACCGGGTTTCCCGCCAAGTTCGGCGTCGTGGAAGGGAGGTAGCAGTTTCCGTATACCGGGATGAGGACCGGCGCGTGATCCGACAGTTTCTTGACGACCGAAAGGGCTGCGACGTCGTTTTTGGGTCTGGGTCCCCAAGATCCGACCCAGAACCCGTTTCGTGCGACGTTCTTGGAGAGATGAAGAAGAGGGAGATTGAAGAGGATCCGGAGATGGTGGGTCGACCCGGTTCGCCAATCGGGGAAATGGGCACCGAGAGGAAGACCCGCCTGAAGGATTGATCGGAGATCGGGAGGGAAGGAGAAGTCGAGCGAGGATTCGACGGCGGATATCTCGTCGTCGGTGAGACCAGGCAAAACGTCGACGTTTAGCGATCGCAAATGGCGGATTATGGTCTTGGAGTAGGCGGCGAAAGAGAAACAAACCCGCGGCGGAGGCTTAAGCTTCGGCGGTTTGACGGCGGAGATATTTTCCGGTGGTCTCTGTGTTGGGGCCATCGTCTGGTCGTCTTTGTACTTGTTCTGTTTTCTTGGGTCATGCGAACGACATTTGATTTATATATATACCATTTATATATGATGTATCTCAAATATATATGTATATATACATAGAAGAAGAAAGGGATACGATAATCATGACGAAGAAACCAAGGGAGGGATGTGAAATCATGACGATTATATCACGTGGTACTCGTTTACGATTTTGGATGATACATACATCTGGGTACCGTACTGTAAGTGTGAGGATGATGATGATGCATGCATGCATGCATATATATATATATATATATATATATATATATATCACATGTATATGAACGAGTCAATGTGATGACGCCGTTAGACTAGGTGCCATCCTTATTTTACTGATTGGCAATTGTGTTTATTATAGATTGGGGAAAAAACGAAGGGAACAAAATTTAACAGCAAAAATCTTCATTAGCCAGATGCCTGTTATTTAATTTCAGCGTTTTCTTAGCAGGAATATAACCGTAAAAAGACTGAAAATTTTAAAATGATAATGTCAATGATAATTAATGAAAGGTGACATCAACAAAAGCTTGAGTATGAGTGGGTGAAATGACTCTAAATGTTGAAATTATAGCAACAAATTGATGAACCAATTAGAAGGGCTTAGTAACAAAATAGTCAAACGTCAACAACGACTTCTAGAATTTTGAGAAATATCAGTTTTGATTCCTAGTTCTTGCCGATTTGGTGGCTAATCCCAATCAAGAAGATGCTTTAAGTGGGTAAACCGTAATTTGAAAAAAAAAACGTTTTGTCCAACCCCAGCATTTATAACACGCGGGCATAAATTTTAATTACCGGAAAGCAGTAGAAGATACTTAATTAGTGAGCCTTAAAACCGAAATCAGGCCCAAGACGATATTCAGCCAAAAGCCCATTTCAAGAACTTGGGCTGGTCCATGAAGCCCATCAATAAAGAACCACAATCATATCAAAACCACAAACAACACAGGAGAAACTGAACACTCATAGCAAAAGAGGGAACTCTCTCTCTCTCTGTCTCTAGTATTCCTCACCATCATCGTCCTCACCATCGTCACCCTCGGCACCAACCTCCTCATAGTCCTTCTCGAGAGCAGCCAAATCCTCACGCGCCTCCGAGAACTCGCCTTCCTCCATACCCTCACCCACGTACCAGTGAACGAACGCCCTCTTCGCGTACATCAGATCGAACTTATGGTCAATCCTTGAGAACACCTCGGCCACGCTCGTCGAGTTTGAGATCATGCAAACCGCCCTCTGGACCTTCGCCAGGTCACCCCCCGGCACGACCGTCGGCGGCTGGTAGTTGATCCCGCACTTGAACCCGGTCGGGCACCAGTCCACGAACTGGATGGTGCGTTTGGTCTTGATGGTCGCGACGGCAGCGTTCACGTCCTTTGGGACGACGTCTCCTCTGTACATGAGGCAGCACGCCATGTATTTGCCGTGGCGTGGGTCGCACTTTGCCATCATGGACGAGGGCTCGAACGCGCTGTTGGTGATCTCTGCGACTGAGAGCTGTTCGTGGTAGGCCTTCTCCGCCGATATGACGGGTGCGTACGAGGAGAGCATGAAGTGGATCCTTGGGTACGGGACCAGGTTGGTTTGGAACTCGGTCACATCCACGTTCAGTGCACCGTCGAATCTCAGGGAGGCAGTGAGGGATGAGATCACCTGAGCATAATTATAACAAATTCAGAAAATTGAAAAGACCGATTCTGTATCATATGGGTATACATGCACATATATACCTGAGAGACCAAGCGGTTGAGGTTGGTGTAAGTAGGGCGTTCAATGTCAAGGGAGCGTCTGCAGATGTCATAGATGGCTTCGTTGTCGAGCAGAATAGCCACGTCAGTGTGCTCGAGGAGGGAGTGGGTGGAGAGGACACTGTTGTAGGGTTCCACAACAGAGGTTGAGACCTGGGGCGAAGGGTACACAGTGAATCCGAGCTTCGATTTCTTGCCGTAGTCCACTGAGAGACGTTCAAGCAAGAGAGAACCGAGACCTGAACCCGTACCACCACCAACGGCATTGAACACGAGGAACCCTTGTAGACCAGTGCAGTTGTCGGCCAGCTTGCGGATGCGGTCCAAGCAGAGATCAACGATCTCTTTACCAACTGAAACAATGAAAAATATCTGCCATTAATACGCAGTAACAAAAGATTGCTAAAAAAGCCAAAGCAGTTTATAAACGGAAGGATCATTACTGGTGTAGTGCCCACGGGCAAAGTTGTTGGCAGCGTCTTCCTTCCCACTGATGAGCTGCTCAGGGTGGAAGAGCTGACGGTAAGTTCCAGTCCTGACTTCGTCAATGACAGTGGGCTCCAGATCTACAAAAACAGCACGAGGAACGTGCTTTCCAGCACCAGTTTCGCTGAAGAAGGTGTTGAATGCATCATCACCTCCTCCGACGGTTTTGTCACTCGGCATCTGGCCATCCGGCTACATATAACGACGTAGGGAAAATATCAGTATATTACAGTTTTGAAAATGGAAAATGAAGAAGACAAAAATAATTAGATCCGCACCAACCATGATAGCGAAAATCAACAAGAAATGGATTCATCCGTGAAAATATGCCTACAATATGGGCTCGATAAGTCTAACAAACACGTATGATTGGCTGTAACTTCGACGGATCCGATCTAATTGGACCTAGGACATTATTTGTTTGACAACCTAGAGTAAACGACGACATTAAGGGATGGTGGCACTACCTCAAATCTATCGGGATGTCACACAATATCCACTAGCATACAAACCAATAATTCATAAAAGTCTGGATCTACGCAGATGCATCAATTTGAGCCACTTTTCACGTAAAATCTGCATTTGACATGAATGTACGTTACTGACCCCATGATATCATACAGATCTGACCGGATCTGCACTAGATCTCCTAGCAGAAGCAACATTACAGAACACAAAAACTAGATCTGGCACAGTTAACCGCCTATCTAGCATCCGAAAAACGAGAGGAAGGAACAAATCGCGAGATCCATGAAAAAACGAAGAGAAAGAGACGGAGAAAATCACCTGAATGCCATGCTCGAGACAGTAAAGCTCCCAGCAGGCGTTTCCGACCTGGATACCAGCCTGACCGATGTGAATCGAGATGCACTCTCTCATTTTCGCGGTAAGAAAAACCGACGAACGGCGAGAAAATTTGAGATCGGAGAGGGAGAAAGAGAAGAAGAGCGGCGTTTATCAAGACGCTACGCTCTCTTTTTTTTTCCGTTGCTTGGCTGCGAAATGTGTAAGATTCCTCGTAGGCTTGACATTTTTTTATAGAAGGATAAAAAAGGGGGAGAAAGAAACAACCTGTCTAACCTAAGTTAAGCAACTAACCATGGTTAAGTTTGATATGATTGTGAGGCAACAACCTTATTGGGCCTACTCAACCGCTCAACATCTAACCGTGGTTAGCTTTTGAAATCAGCAGAAAACGATAACATTTTTAAATTTCAAATATCATTATTACACCACAAAACATCGAAGGACTAACTAGCCGTTAACGACTGGATTTGGACGGTTGAGAATGGGCCTATAATGAACAAATTGGGCTTCATTAAAATCCAGCCCAAACATATTTCGAAATCAAACGATATAGACTGTAATTAATATTTTTTATATAAGAGATTGTTAATATTCGAAATCTCTATTTATACAAACGTAAAAAAATTCAAATGGTAGAAAGTTGTAATAAATTTGGAATTATACTCGATAAAAAATAAAATAGGTGGGATCCTTCGAACCCGACACGGGTCACCGACCAGTCAGTTGCAAAAATATGGACTAACCGATTCGTACAAAATCGAGTGACATCATCATCATTGATGTTCGAGAAACCACCATTTAATAGAATTAATTATAGTCATAATCATGGTATGATAATATTTAAAACGACGGCGTTTTACTACAAAAAAAAAAAAGACATTAAACGATCAGTCGTCCAAAAATTAACATCCTACAAAAGCAGAATACAACTCCTACAATATTGCGAGTCTCAAGTTCTTCACAAGATCTTTCCCCGTCATAGAGAAATCTTCCTCCTTCTGAAAATTATAAAAGCATTAGGGTTATACTTTTGCATAGAGATTAAGGAATAAATCAAAAAAAGAAGATAATTAGTTAATCAATTATACCTTGGCAAGGACGGTGATATCAAGAGTTGAGTCTCCGAATGGCAACGCAATGCTGCTCAAGACGCTCAAATGCAACTTCTCGATTTCGTTCAATAGAACAATCATCGACCCTTTACTCTTCTTGCAGTGTATTCTAATCAAAACATCCTCTCCCGATACTCTAGCCTCGATCTCGGGCAACATTAGGTTAAAATCCTCATACGATGATAACGTGGAACTATGAGTTGTGTCATCGTCGTTTTCCTCGATGAAAATTTTGGTTTTCTTCACAAAAATCATGGATTCCGTTTCTTTTGACGCTTCTTTCTCTTCCCCGAGTTGCATAACTCGTTCTTGGAGCTCTTTTATGTGCATAATCGCGTTTTCAAGAACCGTCACCTTGTCGGACTAGAATATAAGATATGATTCAAATGGGCTTTGATCAGGAGAAAGATGGATCCATGAATGATACATAACGACGATATGAATAATAATGATGGCACTTGATGTATGTATATATGTATGTATACCTTTTTAAGACCAGGAAGAAGAGATGAAAGAGCAATGAATCTTTCGGAGAGCATCTCTCTTCGCTTTCTCTCGGCTAAGACATGCTCTTTGGCGAGAACCGACGATCTCACACGCGCTGATTCTCTTGTTGTCCCTTGTCCAAAAGTCGGGGAACCGCCACATTCTTCGACATTGAAATCGTTTCTTGTGACCCGAGATGAAACATTACAGCAATCGAACGAGATCAAACGCGGGGACGAAGAAGGGAACAAAGGATCGGCGACGATTGGTGAACTCGAGGAAGAATTCCAGCCATTGATCTTCGCCTTCTTCATCGGTCTCTCGCACGAGAACTCAAGTCGACAAGATTGATCATTAACGTGATGACGAGCATGCGGATTGGTTTGTGATTTTTGCGTGACGACTTCGGGCAGAAGATCTTCCTCGTACAAGTCGAAGTCGAAATGGTCGAATGTGAACTCCGGTAAGAAGAAATCTTCCATTGTCCGAATTCGAAACAAAGAGTAACTATACTTGGAAATTAAGGAAAATAGTATAGGAAGTGATTAAGGAAAAGAGAGAGATATTCCGTATTTGGTAATAAGATCCAAACGTTTGGGAAGAAACTATTTAAGGTGACAGTCTCATGTATTACCAAAAAGACGCGGTCCCTTTGCAGATTTTCTCTGACCACATTATATAATAATGCATGTAATAAACGTGACATATATTGAAATTAAAATATTATGTTTGACTTATTTTCTTCTGTTCTTCGCTTTCTTCTCGGGTTTTCATTAGAGTGTTTATCCCTAAACGAACCCGTTCTAAGAAATGGATTTAGATGTGGTATAATATTAAAACATTTTACACAATAAACTATTTAACCATTGTTTTTTTTTCATATATAAGCGAATATCAGCATGGGGTTCGAATCGTAGATGCGGAGAATACTTCGTACTACCACAATCACTATATCATATATATTATTTGATCCCGGTTGCATGTAATTAGAAATTGAAATTTGTTTTTTGGAAAATGATAATTCATAGAGAAAAAATGGGGTAGCAATTGCAGGGTCTCTGTCACCTTATCGGCTTCGTCCTCGGGAGGCCCGACTCATGCATGTGATAAAATTGAAGGAAATTCGGATTGCACTATATTTTTCGCATTTAATTTCTAAAATTTTAACACCCGCTTAATTTGTGAAAAAACATTTATAAGAAAATAAGTTATTTATATATATATATATATATATATGTGTGTGTGTGTGTATATATATCTCATTTGGTGATCAATACATCATTAATCATAAAATATACATATATTAGTTAAATAAACCGTGAAAATTTTAAAAATATCTATATAAAGGCAAGTATTCCCAAAAATCGTAATATGATGTGAGGTGGTTTTTATATTTTTTTAATCATATTTTATCACTGTATTAGAAAATCCTATTCTTTAACATTTTTTATAAACGTTTCCATGATATTTAAGAAATTTCTAATTTCTGTCATCTACCTAAGTTTATGATCCAGATGATCTTTACCTTAGTTGTTTGCAATTTATCAATTGTTACATTCTAGGTGAGACATAAATAAAGTTGTCGGACGCGTTAAATACTCGCTCTAAAACCCTTTCTATAATATATCTACGTTCTATTATATGTAAAGAAAATGGTATTATAAAAAAAGTATCAAAAAATAAAATGGGAATGCATTGAAAGTCGACACGGTGGAAACTTCCGTCCGGTGACAAAATAAAAAATATGCATAAATAACATTGGTCTAAAAGCATGACCTAATTAAAATATAAGGTTATAAGAACGGTCCTACTATACGCGACTAACACTGTTCTTAATATTATTTTTAATAAACCAGAGAGAGAGAGAGAGACAAAACCGGTTCACACTAACCACCGTGAAAAATTAATTCCAATAAAATCGGAAAAGCCCAAGTTTTCAAATTAATTAAAGAATTCACCAAAATTCTCAGTCGTCGCCGAGTGAATTTTGACGTTTTGTATTTTTTTTTTCTGGTAATGATAATATAATCATAATAATGTCTTGGTTTTTGGTGATCTTACGTATAATAATACGAAAATACATGGTTTCGATAGCGACACGACTTTCGTGAATCACGTGATTGGTAATTACTATTTAACCGCCCAAAATGACGGACAGTAGTTCTCCATTTTCACCTTTTGACTATTAATTGGGACTGATTGATCTTAAAAAAAATTAATATCAGCGTATTTATAATGTAATAAAACATAAAGATGTTAATTTTGTTTTATCGATAATACAAATAAAATTCATATTAAATTAGTTTAAATAATTAGTAAATGATGTTTTAATATATCTCTCATTTTTTTCATAAGACAAATATATTAATTTAGTTTTATTGGTCATAGAAATGAAGATAATATTGGATTAGATTTGAATAATTAATCTTGGGTGTTTTAATATTCTTAATCTAGATCTCATAAATTTTCGAGCACGTTAAATAACCATCCGAATTAGTTATTTGGGATTATACCTAGCTTTCAAATATATGGATTGGTAATTTTTTTTTATATAAACAAACAACAGTATATACAGTGTTTCATATATATATATATATATATATATATATATATATGTACTAATACATCCGATTGGATATGAATATTTCAAATCCAAAATATCCGAAATATCCGAATCCGAAATAACCGTAAACCAAACTTGACTTAACCGTAACCGAATATAACCATTTATGTATCTATATATCATCAATTAATATAAAAGATACTCTAAATATAATTTATATAATAATATTATCTTATAACCATAGTATATAAGAAAACGAAATATGCATATATTTCAATGTAGTTTTTGTTATTTTTATAAGACAATTGATTAAATTTTTTATCGATTTTTTATTTGGATAAACCCGAACCGATTAAAATAATATATCCGATTGGATATGAATATTTTAAATCCGAAATGTCCAAACCCAATTAACCGAATTTGATTAAACCAAACGGTCTGATCGCCCACGACTAGGTCAAACACAACAACTACTTAGATTCCCAACACTTTGGAACAAGAACAATTAACGAAGAGGAACCCCTTATTACAAACTTATATCAGCTAAATTTTTCATGACAAATCACCATAACCATGGGCTTTTCAATACAGTGTAAGACCAATCACATGAACTCCAATAAAGCCGATCTCAGTTTCTTCGCCAAATCCGTTAATGCCAAGTCGAAATCGCGCTCCTTCTGCGGAGATACAATGAAATCATTCAACTATACAAACGTTTTTCTTTCTGTCTGAATACAATCAACTAATTTCCGACACAACATATGCATGTATTTGTACGGTTGTCATAATGTATTCGTACCTGAGCGATCACAGTTATGTCGAGAGTGGCTCCAAAGGGTAAGGCACTGCTATTGATGATGAATAACCGAAACTTCTCGATCTCGGCAAGAATTTTCGTAACAAAACTCTTTTGCTTCTCACATATAATCTTGATCATGACATCTTTAGATGAAACCCTAACTTCGATCTCTGGAAGAATTACGTTTGAGCCGTCGGATTTGCCAGCGTCAAGAATCAGGTGAGACTTTTTGAAGAGAACAATGGATTCCATTGACCTTTCCTTCTTTTCTTCTTCGAATTCTCTCACTCTCTTGGAGATGTTTTATATACTTGCATGCATCTCCGAGCACAGAAGCCTTGTCCATCTTCATCATCAATGACATTACGAAAGAAGCATAATGAAAAAGGAAGGAAATTCTTCGAGCTGCAAAGATAATCCAATCATCAAGGAAAAAGGAGAAATCTTTCTAAAAACTGTACCTTCTTCAAGCCAGGAACCATGGCAGAAAGAGCTACAAGTCTTTGAGTAAGCTTCTCCCTTCGTTTTCTCTCGGCGATTATGTGTTCTTGAGCTTGTGAATGGCTTCGATTCATCGAATGAGCCCTTTTAACTGGCCGATGATCTTTCCTTCGTTCGGGTGAAGAGTTATTCGCATTTGAGCCGCCGTTTTCAAAAGAGAGAATCTGAGTCGAAGGCTGAATCTTTTGAGGAGGAGGAGGAGGAGGAGGAGGGGGAGATGAAAGTGTTGGAGATACGTGAAGGGTCTTGAGGAGTTTCAAAGGTTTCTCTTCCATTACATCAAAAGAAGAAGAATCATTATAATCGGCGGTGTAATTAATGGATGCGAAGTTTGATTGTGGAAGAGTTTGATCTTCAAGGAATGAATTCATATGGTATGAGTGGATCACGTTGTATTCTTCCCCTTCCTGTAACCAATAATGAAATTCGTATACAGCATATATATGCAATGAAATAATACAAGTATATGTATATATACACACACACATGACAAGAGAGATGGATTCTTACCAAGTCAGAGAACCATTTGGTGGATGATGGCAAGTAGTTCATGGTCGTCGCCATGTCTGAAAATCAACTCTGAATGAGAAAGCAAATGGGCATGCAAACAGACAAACAATTAGTGTAAGAAGAAGCATATAGCATACCCAAAAAATATATATATATATACACACACAACCACCATTGAAGCTATGTACTAATCTTCTGTTTTTCTCATTTTTGTAGGATTATGGTGTTAAAATAATAGATATTGATTTAGATTTGATTTATAAAATACACCGTATTTGCTGTCATGCTTTGGATTACCACTAAAAAATTGTGGTTGTGAGTTTTGTTTTTCCCCCACGGCCGAAACCCATATATCCCTACAAGTTTTATATTTTAAGATTATATATAAAACGCTGCATCTTTAAGTTAGTATTACTAGATACCGCCTCAATATAACTAAAATCAGTCTTAATTATTTCAATCAATTTATATAAAAATAAGATTAGCTTCATGTACTAATAAAATCAAACCATATATATATATATATATAATATAATAGTATATAGCACACAGATCATTATGATAAATCGCATTTTGTTGGTTGATTAGAAAAACTGATATGTAGGGTATACGGAAAGATTTAGGAAATCTTCAGAAGAATTAATAATACAAATCTTTTCTTCCAATGAGGAATAAAAAAAATTAAAAAATGACTATCAATCACGTCAGGAATAATTAATTAGTTCATTAATTTTATCATCCTAAGCGACTGGTGAGACGGGAAATTAAGATTATTTTCTGTATTGAGGATACAATTACAAATATATTTTCCGTTCAAAAATATTTAAATGATAATTATGTGAATGGAGTTACGCTACTTGAAAACGATATTCTAATAAAGTAAATATGGTTTTAGGGTCTCAATATGAGATTAATTCATTATTAAATCAAAATACAAAAAAAAAGCTGTTGAATATAAGAAATAATCATTATTGAAGGTGATGAAATTTTGACAGAAATGGCAGGTAAGAGCCAACTAATCCCGATCCCATTATTGAAGAATCTTTGGCCATATAAACATGGTTTAGGGTTTACAAAACATAATTAGGATCAGGGGCGGCCCTAGTTTAAAAGGAATTGGATCATATGTCCTCACTTGTTAAACTAAAAATAATAATTTTTTTTATAAAATTGAACTGATTTAAAATAAAATTTAAATATTCCCATTGTAAAAATATGTTTGTCTTATAGTAAAATTAAATTCGCCCCCGGATAAGATCACACGAATATATATATATATATATATACACACACTGCTGCTCTTGTATACATATGAGGCTTTTATGTTAACATATCTCGAATGACAATATTACAAGAATATTTTAAAGGTGTACAGAGATTTCAACCTATACCCTTCAAAATTAGGGTTTCAAAAAAAAACTTTCAAATGATAAAAAGATATTGTTACCCTTAATAAAAATGACACGTGTCAAGATGAGAACAAAGAAGACAAATATCAGAGAAGTTATGAAATTATATAATACAAAAAGACACGTGGTAAGGTTTTGAACAAAAAAAACAGAAAAGTCAAATATTGAACAGTTTCCTTCTTCTCTCTCTTCATTTCTGCGATTTTTCTTGCGATTTCTCTTGCGATTTCTCAGTAACCATAATGGATAGAGCGTGATTTCTCTTTTATCTTTGGCGATTTTTCTTGCGATTTCTTCTTGCAATATCTTATCACTTTAGATGGCTTCGTCTCCTTCATCGTCTTCAACTCCTATTTATGAAGATATCCAGGTTTGTATTTGAACTCATCGAGAAAGTGAGATGTTTTTCTTAGAATTTCATGTCTGTGTGTTTGGATAAACAACATAGGAAAACAAAATCGAGTAAAATAGGTCATATTTATGTAGTTATATGGATCAGAAAAATAAGGATTTCAGTAAAAAAGTGAGAAATATTGTTTGCACAATGTCGAGTAATATGGAACTCAAATCACGATTATAGTGTTCAATTGAGTCATATTAAGTCATATTAGTGGAGTTCTATAGATCAGAAAAATTAGGGTTTCGGCTAGAAAGTGGAAAATCATGTTTTTCACAAAGACGAGTCATATTGAAGTTATCACGGTGTGACAAAATGGTCGTACTAGTCACAATGGTCATACCTGAAGGATATAACGAGTTAGATTAGTCTGACCAAACTGGTAAAATTGGTCACAACCAGTCACACTCGTCAAACTGTACACGATGCTAATTTGGTCATACTAGTCACACTCGTCGCACCTCAATGGTATGACGAGTTTGACAAGTTTGATCAGTCTGTTAAATCTGGTCGCTATTGAAACAAAAGTGATAACAAATGTTAACTTTCTTTTTGCAGGTTTCTTTTGTATATGATTTTAACTACATTCATCATGCTCCCAAGATTACAACAAAGTGTTATTCGTTTCAAACTATCTGTTCTCTTAAAAAGGCTCTAACAAATGAAGAATGGATATATTTCAACAAACAGTCACAGTTTCGACACATTTTCCATCTTCAATGTGAAGATATATTAAAGATGGTTCTAGTGTCTGTCCTTTTACATCGCGCACTAAAACTTGAAGGAAATGTGAAAGAATTGTGGTTTATTCTGAATGGTGTGTACCTGTTAGATACTCTCACCGAATATGTCATTATCTCTGGTCTAAACTGCGAAAAGTATCCAAAAGATTAGGTTGAACGCAGAAGAAGAAGATGAAGAAAAAGGTTCCGAGGAAGAAGGAGAAGAAGAAAGAGGAGGAGGAGGAGCAAGAATGGAAGGGGGGAAAGAAGAAGAAAAAATACCCTTTGAAAAGATATCGGATGAGGCATCTGGGTAAATAAGATAAGACAAAACAAGTCAAATGGGTCATATTATTCGAGTTATATGGATAAAAAAATTAGGATTTCAGTTAGAAAGTGAGAAGCAATATTTTTCACAGAAGATGAGTCATATGGAAGCTAAATAGTCATACTAGTCATACTAGTGACACTAGTCGCACTTGAATGGTGTGACCAGTTTGACTAATATGATAAATCTAGTTAAATGAGTCACGAATTTCGCGAATTTAACATTTTTACAATATAAACATGTTAATAAACAGTCCATATAACAATTTTTACAAGTAAAAAATAATCGTAACCCTCTAAATTCAACACCTTATTTTTTTACAATGCATGTTCTCCCAAAAGAAATCCCAAAGTTCTAGTACACTTTTTGTAACACATTAGGTTAGGGTAGATTATATTATTTTCCAATATGATTTACGAATAACAAAAACATGTTAGATACGCCATAATAAGCCCTATATATCACGTTGAACCTTCAAAATTTAATTTACGCTATCATTTGACCAGTTTGACTCGTCGCGCCGTCATACTCGTCGCACCGTCAAACTAGTCAAATTCGTCGCACCCTCACGAATTTCGCGAATTTAGCATTTTCACACTATAAACATGTTAATAAACAGTCCATATAACAATTTTTACAAGTAAAAAATAATCGTAACTTTCTAAATTCAACATCTTATTTTTTTTACAATGCATGTTCTCCCAAAAGAAACCCCAAAGTTCTAGTACAGTTTTTGTAATACACTAGATTAGGGTAGATTATATTATTTTCCAATATGATTTACGAATAACAAAAACACGTTAGATACACCATAATAAGCCCTATATACCATGGTGAACCTTCAAAATTTAATTTACACTATCATTTGACTAGTTTGACTCATCGCACCGTCATACTCATTGCACCGTCAAATTAGTCAAACTCGTCGCACCCTCAAGAATTTCGCGAATTTAGCATTTTCACACTATAAACATGTTAATAAACAGTCCATATAACAATTTTTACAAGTAAAAAATAATCGTAACTCTCTAAATTCAACACTTTATTTTTTTACAATGCATGTTCTCCTAAAAGAAAACCCAAAGTTCTAGTACACTTTTTGTAATACATTAGGTTAGGGTAGATTATATTATTTTCCAATATGATTTACGAATAACAAAAACACGTTAGATACGCCATAATAAGCCTTATATACCACGTTGAATCTTCAAAATTTAATTTACACTATCATTTGACCAGCTTGACTCGTTGTACTGTCATATTCGTCTCACCGTCAAACTAGTCAAACTTGTCGCACCTTCACGAGTTTCGCGAATTTAGCATTTTCACACTATAAACATGTTAATAAACAATCTATATAACAATTTTTACAAGTAAAAAGTAATCGTAACTTTCTAAATTCAACACCTTATTTTTTTTACGATGCATATTCTCCAAAAAAAAACCCAAAGTTCTAGTACACTTTTTGTAACACGTAAGTAGATTATATTATTTTCCAAATGATTTACGAATAACAAAAACACGTTAGATATGCCATAATAAGCACTATATACTACGTTGAACCTTCAAAATTTAATTTACACTATCATTTGACCAGTTTGACTCGTCGCCGTCAAACTAGTCAAACTCGTCGCACCCTCACGAGTTTTATGAATTTAACATTTTCGCACTCTGAACGTATTAATATGATCAGTTTGACTGTGTGAATCATAGTAATGTTGATTTAACTCATTTTTATCTATATAATACGGTGTGTTACTCATATATGTTCCATTTTATTCATTTATATCATATAAATCAAATTTTAAAGATAAAAACCTAGTAAATCCTAAATTTCCAAAATAGATATCATATTTTGGAAAAAAAACTTGTCTATTATCGAAATTTTTATTTAATATTTTGGAGTTTTAATTTATTTTTTATAATTAGTTAACCAAGAAATCATATGGAATAGAGAAGATTTGGAGAGAGATAGAACTTAATGGAAGAGAAAGTGAATATAACAAAACTCCCCATATTACCCCCGAAATAACAAATGGAGTACTTGTCGTTACACGGCAGAATCGTTTTTTTTTTGTAATTTAAATTTTTATTTTTTCGCCATCATATGATATCATTTTTTAATTGACCGGCTTAGAAGATGGGACCAGCGGCGAGAATCTCCTCAGTCAGCTTACCGTCCACGCCGATCTTGTGGCTGGCAAATGTCCCGAAGTTCTTCCTGAACAGTCCCCCCAGTTTCAGCAACGTCTCCTTGTACGCCTTCTTGTCCCCCCACTGCAATCCAATCCAATCCAAATCCCAAATTTCAAATTTTGACGACGGAATCTTAAAAAAGAATCAAAAGAGCTGGCAAAAAAAAAAAGAACTGACAGCATTGATGGGATCAAGGATCTCTGAGGGAACTCCCTCTATCTCAGTTGGGATTTCAAGACCAAAGATCTCAGTTTTCTTGTAGTTTGCATTCAGGAGGCTGCCTGAATGGATGGCGTCGATGATCTTCCGAGTGTAAGCCAGCTTGATTCGGCTACCAACCCCATAGCTGCAGAAAAAGAATCTCTCAAACTCCATATACACATGTTAGGAAGGATATGTCTGGATATATATGTGTGTGTGTGTATATACCTGCCACCAGACCAGCCAGTGTTCACAAGCCATCCGGTAGCACCATGCTTCTCCATCTTCTCAGCCAACATGGCCGCGTATTTTGTCGGATGCAGCATTATAAATGCTGCCCCAAAGCAAGCGGAGAACGTCGCTGTTGGCTCCTTGATCCCATCCTCTGTTCCAGCAACCTACAAGAGTTGCATCTCTCTTAAGTTACGGAACTTTAGACGAAATGCTTCTTGTCATTGGCAATGGAAAAGAAAAACACACCAGAGCAGTGTAACCACTGATGAAATGGTACATGGTTTGTGCCAGATTCAGCTTGCTCACAGGTGGGAGCACACCAAAGGCATCACATGCTAGAAGTATCACATTTTTCGGGTGCGGACCGACACATGGTATCTTCGCATTAGGGATGTACTCAATTGGATAGGCGGCACGGGTGTTCTCTGCAAAAGGAGAAAGCACAATTGTTGTTATGATGATAACGGAAATAAGAGATCATACAGAAACACTATAAGCTTCCTGAATCTCCTTTACCTGTAACAGATTTGTCAGTATAGTCCACTTCTCGGGTGTGCTCATCAAAAACAACATTTTCCAACACTGCAACAAAACCATACTCTCTTACATTAGTAATTTGTCTTCCCCGTCAAAACCTCATCCAAGTGCCAGAAAGCTCGGTATGCTGTCTTTACCAGTTCCAAACTTGATGGCGTTCCAGATATCAGGTTCCTTTTCTCTTGAAAGATCAATGCACTTAGCATAGCATCCACCCTCAATGTTCGAAACACCAGTCTCAGTCCAGCAGTGCTCGTCATCTCCAATCAGATACCTGTTGTGATCAGTGGAGAGGGTTGTCTTCCCGGTACCTAAAACAACATTTATCGAAAGAAAAAGACACCGTCAAGTTCCATATCATCCTCGTTTTTTAAGACAGAAGACCGAGGCACCAAAACACGTCGGGCAATCAGATTAAGAATGTGTAGTTCAGGGTATCATGTTTCAGGACTTATCTCCTCCATCACCACCGTGACGATACTATACCTGAAAGTCCAAAGAAGAGGGCAACATCTCCATCTTTTCCCATATTGCATCCAGAATGAAGGGAGAGAATTCGACGCTTAGGCATAAGGTAATGCATCACACCGAAAAGACCCTTCTTCATTTCCCCGGCATACTGGGTGCCGAGTATAACCATTTCCCTTCTAGCGAGATTAATGTCTACGCTAGTGGATGATGTCATGTAATGAGTGTAACGATTACACGGGAATTGTCCAGCATTGTAAATTGTGAAGTCCGGAGTACCAAAGTTCTCCAGCTCTTCGGGAGTGGGTCGGATACACCTGCCACCCCACCAGTTATCCAATTGCACACTAAACTAATCGACCATTTTTCACATATCTTTGCCCCACCCCAAACCACCACACACACACAGACACGTATATGCGTTGTTTATATAAAGGGCATCACGACAAACGATGAGGAGACTTATCTGGAGCGGAACAGAGCCTTGTCGAAGAGACACAACTACAAAAGCATCTGCTAAATCACGAAATCAGTGGTGGAACTTACATGTTGTGCATGAACAGTGAATGATAAGCCCTGGCTGAGACGATCCTGACTTTGATTCTGTTCTCTGGATCCCAGTTCAAGAATTGATCATTGACAAAGACCTAAACACAAGAAATCCATACATTAGCCAATCGTCCCAAATGCAAAGGGTCCCAATAGAATACATTTGGAACAAAGATTTTGTCGGCCGACTTAAGACAAACCTTGTCCAAAGAGTTCAAGTAGTCGACAGCTCTTTCTCTGTTCACCATGAAGGTATGCTCATCCATTTCGATATTCGGCGAGCCCCTGATGAAGGATCGAATACAAACAGACATAATCAATCAAATGCAGCAGTAGATTCACTAACACGGATCACGAAAGATTGAAAACACTAAAATCAACAAAAGAAAAAGCCAAACGTGTCGATCACTTACATGCCCCACCAAAGATCCTTCTCAGTCGTCTCGTCCCTAACGACACGCTTATCCCTCGGAGCCCGGCCGGTCTTCGCACCGGACAGCGTCGCCAAAGCGCCGCTCGAAGTGATAAACGACCCTTTCTCATACTTAATCGCCTGCTCGTAAAGCTCTACACCCAAGAACAAACCCGAAACGAGAGAACAACTATTCAGTGACCAATCTCGAAAATTTCAATCGTGAAATCAACAAAAACATCGAAATGGGATTTAGGGTTAGTCACCGGCGGGAGAGAGATTGTAGAGAACGTGAGTGAACTTCAAGGAACTGTCACTGACGGCAATGGTGGGAGAGAAGAAGTGGGTATGAGGAACATGGGCGACAGGAGTGGCACCCTCCGTCTTCTTCGCCGGATCTCCTCTCACCACCTTCGGACCTGTCTCTCTCGTCAATGACGCCAACGATGCACTGCGAATTTAAAAAATATAACAATAAATTAAAAAGAAATATATCCAGCTATTATCCACGTGTCAAATGTTTACGCGTCCCTATCAAAAGTGGGACCCACCATTAAATATCCCAATATATTTATCCCTTTTTCTAAGAGTTATCCATTTTCTACGTGCTGACGCAAAATTAAAGCTTGTCTGAATTGTTTACATTTAATAGCGACGGTGCATTTAATTTTGACTATCTCTACTCGTTTAATTTCCAAGCATTAGCAATCAAACTCTTTAAAAAATCAAAATATGATAAAAAAAATTAATAATTTTCCCAAAAAAACGTTGAACGAAGATCTTAATATACAAAAGAATAAAACGACTGATATCAGTAGTAGTCATAATCATTATCATGTCACGCCCGTATAAATTATATTTTTGTTTACATATTATAAGACAGAGACACAAGATTTACCATGAAACAGATCAAAATCTCAGATTTTTATTTTCCAAAAAAGAATAAAAGAGAAATAGTTTTTTGGGGTAATCGAGTATTTTAGACTAAGATAAAGACTAATTTCGGAATCGAGATAAATATACGTTTTTTCCTAAATTTGAGGTTTGAAATCGGGCACGTTTTCTACTTTGAACTACCAAAGATTGGGTAAGAGAAAAATAGTTAAGAAGCGGAACCTGATGGATTGGAGCTGCGCCTTCTGGCGTTCCTCTTCGGACATGGCGGCGAAGACACCTTGGGAGGTGTCGATGGGAGTGGTCGGAGCCGACCGCTTCTTCTGGAGGGAGTGAAGCTCGTCGATGGTCTGAGCCTTCACGGTCGGACCGCTGTCGTCGTGGCATATCCCGTTATCTCTCTTCGGCCCCGTCGTTATCTTCGGCATCGCCGGTCCTTTCGGAAAGCTGAACCCTCCGTCGCAGTTTCCCGCCATCTCCTCCCAAACTGTACGGAAAATATTGTTCATCGACGTGAATCAATGGGAAAAAAATATGGACGAAAAAACAAACGATGGATGTGAAATTATTACCTGAGATCGAGAAGTTGTGTTAATGGAAGATGAGATGGGAAGAGAAAATGGAGCGAGGAAGGAGGGGAGAGAGGAGAAGGGCTTTTAAAGGGTTTCAATGGTGGGGTTGGGAGAGTTAACCAGGGTTGAACTAACCGTAGTGTCTGGTTAAAAAGGTCCTAACCATGGTTAGATCTCAGCGGACCCCACCGTCCTTTCTCTCTCCAAACATGGTAACCGCTGGTCTGATCTGATAACAACGATGACGCCATTGCCCACACGATAAAGTTTGATCACATTTTTTCACGGTCCTAATTCTTTTTAATTATTAATTATTTTATGTCAAAGATTATTAATGATGGTATGATGGAACTAAAAGGTCCTAAGATTATAGATAATTTCAAAATTTTCCTATTATGAAAATTGACGGACTTGTTATGAAATTAATTAATTACCTTTTTCAGGACATAAGAGCTAATGTTCTCAACTTTTTTCCAACTTCTTTTCCTCCCTTTCAACGTGTGTGTGCATATATATATATATATATGGACATGCAACGCGAATGGAATTATTATTTATTTCTGATATTTGTTCGATACATAGTCAAACAAAAAAAAATCAATCGTGGAAATCTTCGTTCGCCCATAAATATGAATATGTATATTTTTTTTTTATAACCATGATGGTTCCCGTGTCTTCGGTCTGATTACATCTACCTTAAGTTCGAGCCCCGTCTTTGTATATGAACCATTTTGATCTAGAAATTATATCCCTTTCCACCAATGGAATCGAACCTATAACTTCGAAGATGATTTTGTCAACAACTGTTGGGTGTGAATACGTATGTTTACATCTTATCAAGCTATTTTCTTGGATTTCTAATAAATTACATACATATTGGCCTTAATTATACTACATGACAAAATGTATGTATTTAGAGATATACATATGCATATGGCACGCACTCCTATGCGAGTAGATCGGTAAAGGGACACGTCAAGTAGAAGACAATCTCTCACGTATGCACATTATATATATATATATATATACACGCGTAGTCGACGGCATCAATTACACACAATTAATTAATTACGCTTCCTTGTTTTGAGGAGCCGATGGTGGAAGAGTTTTGTTTTATAAACATTTATATAGACTTTATTACATATATATACATAAAACGATGCAAATTCAATAAGAAAATTCCGAAAATTATGGAATGGGAAAATGAATGGAATGTATAATCATAATATATTTGTTCGTAATTTATTCTTAGGAAACTAATCACGATTACCTGGAAAGAGTCTGTAATTAGGAGGTGGAACCCAAGATTCATCTTACAAACAATGCCCGTGTTTCTAAAATTTTCACGTCAAATAAATGTGTTGACGTTTATTTTCATATGATAATAACAATAATTAGTAATATTATGATTAAATGTATTATTATCATTTATTAATATTATTTCGAAGAAACGAATAAAATTGTCGTACATGGACTTTATTATTACAGCAAGCGAGGATTCAAGGATGCTATGTCATAGATATATAAGTAGCATATATAAATATAAATTTCCTTAGGAAAACAGTGTGACAGTCGGTGCAAAGATGAAGGTGGGAGTTATCGTCTCTGCAGAGGATATGAATAATGAGCGATTATCGAGTACCGTTAGACCAGGGGTATAGAAATAAATCGAATACACCGGAATAAGAGAAATCCGAAAACTGTATAGGTATAAGACTATACAGTCTATGATAACATAAAAGAATCTTTTCGGTGGACTATTCCGAAGGAATTCTAAAGTTAAGCGTGTTGAATCTAGAACAATTTCATAATGGGCGATCTTGGGAAGTGTCTCGATATATATACGAGTGAGGATAAAATACGTTGGAAGATCTCGTGTTGTTGTGTGAGAGTAGTTTTAATGTTTGTAGCGGTCGTATGTCGTTACAAATAGAGTTAAAAAAAAATATGAATGTGATGGTTTTAGAAAATAAGGAAGGGTCTTTGAAAAATCAAACAAAGACTCTCTCAATAAATGGATATTTTTAGCCTTACTAGATAAATTATGGATGTATATATTATATATATTGTCACGGTTGACTACCCCAGAATAAGCCACGTTTGTAAACAAAATCCCAAGTATCTAAATAATTAGGCTGGTATATATTAATTTAATTTTCAAAAATGGTGGCCTAATCGTAAAACAATAGCCATAATTATCTGTAACCATCTTGGTATTTGAGAATATTTTTTTTTTATAATTAAGTTATCGCCGGAAGCCTTATCTTCTCGCGTTGAAGATCGCCATGGACGGCATACGACGTGTGCGTTGAATCAAAATTTTAGATGTTAAATATGCAACAAAAAAAAAAGATAAAATAAATAAATCAGAATTAGCTACAAATTATATAACTAAACACAATCTGTAATTACGGGATTTACGTGATTAAATCAAAAGGAGAAGCTGCACGAGAAAGATTTCTCATTGCATCTTTCAATGAAGTGTGTGTGATAAGGATGTTTTAACAACTCTTAAATGCGATGAAACAACGTATGCAACACATAAATATATTTGAAAAATCAAATATGGGTCATGGATATGATCATCCCAAACCCATGTAAGTTTCATGACATTTGCTTGTCGTCCTTCACCGCTTTGATAGGAAGATGATCATATCGGTATGATATATATATATATATATATATATATATA